ACGTAAACGTTAGATTCGATCTAATCGTTATCAATTGTGATATAAAATATTGATAGGAAATATTATGGCTCGTTTTATAATTAAAAACATTATCCATATATATAGATATAGATATATAAAATGTATACATAACTATAACATAACGGGGGCTCTTTCCATCCATTAACTGTCTCGAGCACCGCCTGTTACGTTATTGTTTCACGACTTTACGGAAATCCTACTGCAATTCTCATTTCCCCTTTCCACTTTCATGGTAACATAGTATGTAACATGTACGATACGTACGTACGTATGGTACGTATGTATATCTACTACGTAAAGGTTTCAAGCAACGTTCTGGCTTTTGTAAAAGAACGCGGGTCGTTAGTCTCTTCCGACCTATCAGCCTGCATCAAAAGGAGAATAAAAAAGAAAAAAGTAGAAAAGAAGAGAGAAACAGAGAGAGAGAGAGAGAGAGAAAGAAAGAAAGAAAGAGAGAGAGAGAGAGAGAGAGAGAGAGAGAGAAAGAGAAGGGCCGAGCGGTTGGCACCGTGTAAGATACGTCATTAAAAACTCTTCTCTCTGACCGAGCGTGAAGCTAACAAAGAAGTTAAAAAAAAAAAAAAGAAAAAAAAAAGAAAACAAAGAAAAGAGAAGAAAAAAAGAAAACACAAAAAAAAAAATATAGGGGATAGAGACAAGCCTGGTAGAAAGTAAAAACCTCTGTCCATCTCTCCATCCACGTTCTTCTCTCATCGTGGAAACGTGTTTACCACAAAATGCCTCAACACACGCTCCTCCTCCCCCAAGCTACTGAGCGTTTTTTTTTTCTTTTTTTTTATTCCACCTCTTGCTCCGTCGTCCTTTGGAGTGCCACTCTTCTTCGTCCTACGTCGTTAAGCGTATTAACGTGACGCCAACAACGCTGACCGCTATTGTCCTCGGACTCGGAGAATGAATAAACGATATTCGTTTAACTTGATATCACCCTTATATTTTAATATAGAAGTTACGTGTATCAAAATAAAATTTTACGAATATCTACATTTTTTTTTATTTATTTATTTTATATATATATATATATATATATATATATATATATATCTTTTCTTTTTTTCTTTTGTCATATGACCACAAACATTTTTACGTATCGGTTATTAAAGAAAATCAAAAAAGTGGTATCTTGATATTTACGAAATCGTGAAAATAAATAAATATAAGATATACAAGAGAATATAAGATATTTCTTCGTAATTAAATGTTCTTTCCCTAGGATTTATATTTATCGAGTTAATTCAATTGTTCGATCGAAAATCTTTAATTATATTCGACCGTAATTTTCATTACAATTACGTTTTACGTAATCGTAGTTTTAGCTTTTTCCTTTTTTTTTTTCATTTTTCTTTCCTTTTTTTTTTTTTTTTTTTTAATAGACGTTCGACCATTTTCCATGTAATTTTGAAGAAAATTAATAAATGGGTTAGAAGATCGACGATTAACTAGAGCGAAGAATTTGATCTCATTTCTCTCTCTGTCTCTCTCTCTCTCTCTTTTTTCTCTTTCTCTTTCTCTCTCTCTCTTTCTCGACTGTGCCACTAGGGACATCTCAATATCGAACGTGAGAAGAGAGAAAGAGAGATAGAAAGAGAAAGAGAGAGAGAGAGAGACAATTTGCATTCCGTATCGGTATAATATTCTAACGTGGCGGTCATCGTGATTCCCAAGTGTCGTTTTCCCGTTACTTTCATGTATGCACGCTTGAGTGCACATACAGGGTTGCTCCACGACGATCCACACTTGCATTGAAATCGTCGAATCTTCCTACAGTGGTCCTACCGAAGATAAAACTCGGCCAAGTCGAAATCATACTTTGCTATTTCTTTTTCTTTCTCTCTCACTCTCTTTCTCCATCTATCTATCTATCTTTCTCTTCCATGATTTATATTAAAACAGGATCGGATTAATTTTTTATATAATTATTCTATTACCTTCATTTCTGATTCATTAATTGATCACAACTCGTA